GATTTCTTGAACCTGCTTCTGCTCGTGGACCGGCCTTTTTCCTGAAAATATTCGGTTACTCGATTTGTTCAGAAACTTTCAAAAATTGTATATGATCATCTTTATACATGAAACCACATCGCTTCCCTCAATTTGTAAACTTGGTTAGCCAGTTAGCACAAATTTTGTCACACAATACTCAAAGATGCTAATATTAGTTAATCATTATTGCTTACCTTCTTGCATCTTCGCGGATTTTAGCATCAATCTCTTTCAATGGTGGGTATTTCGGCAAGCTCGATGGATCACACGCATAAGGCTTCGTATGGAAATACTGCAAAAAAAAAGAAGTAGAAAATTCACACACGTACGAACAAAGTCACAAACTTTTCGGATTTTTCAAAGTCCAAGTTATGTTCACACCTCGGACTTGAGTGAAGAAGAAGCACTCCCACGTTTGTAAGGTTCGACAGAGAGGAAGGTCTCGATTAGGCCGATTGCACTTTTCGGAAATTCTTTGCATCTTTCTCTAAGCGTGCTCTCGTAAGGCTGCTGAGGTTTAAACATAGTTGCCAGAGGAAGTCGACACTTTTTCCAGTAATCGTCCGGTGGCGAACCGCAGAGCTTGAAGATTTTATGCAACTGTTCGACCTAAATTTTCGAATGTCAAAACATACATAAACTTGTATGTTTCACTTTTAGTGTCTCCAAAATTCCCTATAAGCTAACTTATCGCTTATTTGGTTAACTTATAAGCTTCTTGTATTAAGCTTCATGTGGTAGCACGAGCTTTTCTCATAAGCTTCTTTGGATAGCTTTCAAATTATCTAATTAAATTTTTTATTCCAACTAGCTTATCAGCTAATTTTACCAAACACTTTTATCATATAAGCTAGCTGAAACTTTTCAGCTATAACTTATAAGCTATCAGCTCGAAAATCATTTATAAGCTATCAGTTAGTTTTACTAGACTATGTAATAAATGTAGTGAAATCCAATTGGATCTTTGCAAATTTTCAAAAAGTTCTAACCTCAGTTCTACCCTTGAGCAAAGGCCTCCCGATGAAAAGTTCGGCAAAAACACAGCCCACACTCCATAAATCTACGGACTCGCCATAATTCGTGGACCCCATGAGCAGCTCGGGAGGACGGTACCATAGGGTCACCACGCGGCTCGTCAAGGGCTGCTTATTGCTTTTGTTGGGCCTCATGAAATTCGCAAGCCCGAAATCGGCTACCTTCAAAATCCCTTCATTATTCACTAAGATATTCGAAGATTTAATATCACGATGCATTATGCCTCGCGAGTGGCAGTGCTCGATCGCACTCAATAGTTGCCGCATGTAGCATTTGATCTACTTCCCAACAACAACAACAACAACAAAAAAAAAAGGAATTAGAAAAAACGACGTTTTTAGCCAATATTATGGTGAAATTCAAAAAGCTACTAACTTGAAATGAAGTAAACCTGTGATTCGGTAAATTTTACGTCGGGACAGGATAAAAGCCCTGCTAGGTCGTGCTCCATATATTCGAAAACTAAGTTTATACTGCATGATAATCGGGAAGTAATAATGCCTTGGAGTTTCATAACGTTCGGGTGGTCGAGCCTGCGGAGGATCGAAATCTCGCGGGCCATGAACCTTACGCTGTCTGGTTGGAAATTGTCGAAACGGACCTTTTTCACGGCGACCATTTTACCGGTTTTCAGGTCGCGTGCACGGTAAACCGTGCTGTACGTGCCTTGTCCAATCTACATATAGTAATGACAGATACAAAATAAAAACTAAATAAAATCTAATTATCCCCACAATTGCTGGCATCATCTTTAAGTGTTGCAACTTACAAAGAACCCCCATTGATGTTTGTGTTTACCTGACAGGGACCTCCATACCTATTTCTTGAAGATGCCATTAATGAAAATGCTTGAATAGAGAAAGTGAGATATTTTCGAATTAGATTAAACCTTAAGGGCTGTTTTTGCAATAAATCCACTTCCAATCATCAAAACATTATTCAGGCATTTTCCTTAACACAAGGTAATAATTTTACTTTTCATTTACCTACATTTTCTTACCTTTTCCAACCTCTCGTACATATCTGACCTCAACGGGACCCACCCATCAATGGCTTCCCCGGCCACCGCCGTCAGCCAGGCCGGCCAACCCGCCGCCACCTGCTCGGCCTCCGCCAGCCTCCCGAATTTAAACCCGAAGCTCGCATTCCTCTGAGATACCGCCGGCCCGGCCCTAGAATCCTCTGAACCACCGTCAAGATCGAGTCTTTTCGCCCCATTTCCAGATTCCCCGCCGCCATCCTCCTCCACGGCCTCCCCCTTCTTTCCCCCCTCCAAATCCACCCCCTTCTCCGGCTCCTCCCTTATCTTCTCCAGGGGCCCGACATGCATCGGGCCGGACGCGGCCAGGCGGCCAGACCTGCTGCTCCTGATTCGGCCCGAGGTGACGACGACGTCGTACGCCGGCGACTGGGCCCTCGCCTTCTTGGAGCTGACGCAACCCATTTCCGGCTAAAACCCATAAACAGCTTTAAACACCATGAATGGTATCAAAAGGTGATTTTTCAAGCCCAAACCCGGAAAAGGGGAAACGGGCCCGAATGGAGAAAAACAGAACAACCCTAGAAAAGGGAATAAAATATGAGAAATTCTCCAGTAATGGGGAAGAGACACAGAGAGGCCCTCAAAGAACAAACAAAGAGCTTATTTTTGGGGGGAGAGAAAGAGGAAAATTGAAGGGTCAAAGATTTTCTTGACATGTTTTTTTTTTTTTTTTTTTTTTTTT